GTCACAGCGATAAATGCATACTCTCCGTTGTTCAAATTCAATTGGTGAACAGCATACATAAATTTAATGATGTCATCACCATAGGCACATAAGATAAACACTGAAACGAGATATGAATGGTCATACAGTGGTTTGAATTTGCTATACTGGATGATAGAGTTTCTCTTAGCTACTTTTATCCTGTGCTGTCTACATCACCGTTAAAAGCTTACTGATCACAGAAGTGATATACTTGTTCATATATAACACGTATATCAATTCCGCCTATTTATATATTACTGACATTTTGGGATTATCAACTCAGTTGCCCGGAGACACGTTAGTTGGTTTTCTACAAAGGACTTGAACACGACAGCAATATAGCACTGCTTTAAGATACAACAACAACTACGTTTAAAAATAATGTTCATAGATATTGATATCAAATTCTTCCCAAAAAAAGAAAAATGAAAATACCTCGGGCTCTTCTCGATTCTAATAAAAGCTTTTCATTAAAATCATAACTAACATTTTTCCTCATAACCCATTTCCGAACAGTAATATTAATATCTTCAAAAAATTCCTAAAATGAACAATTTTGATAGTGGGGAGCTAAACGTGAAATTAAGAGAGGGGAGTTATAACGATATTAGGCCATACATTTTACTGACAGGAGCTCATCTCAAGTGTTTCTGATGTAAAATTCCGGTTTTGGATATAGGCATTAATGGACTACCATCCAAAGAGAATCATCATGATCATAACGAGTTTTGGAAGAATGAAGACGATCAAGTGACTCACAACACACTACTAAGGGTCGAGTTTCACCGCCAGATCAGAAGGTTTCTGAACTACCAAACCATCCAATTGATCCAAAGCCTACTACCAACAACTATCGAGTCTGTGATATCAGCTCTTGTTGGATGCGGATGTAAACTTGTCATCTACCGACCAGCTTATAGGCGTTAGCTATCCAATCAAGGCAATATGTCACGATAAACACGAGCAAACGCTTATACAGACAAACTGACCGACTGCTTCCAACTGCCAACAGATAGATGGTGACATGTTCCGACGGGTCAGTTCGAAGTCATCTAAGCGACCTAACTGAGCAACAACCCATGTACTGAACAAAGCTACATGAAATTGAATTATTTTATATTTTAAAGCGATTGAAATTTCGGTTACGATAATAGGTGTTCCTGTTCCTGCAAAAAAACTTAAAATTCTATTTGACTTCGATTAACATGTATTACCTCAAATGATGATACTGCCTCCAGCCAAACATCCTGTCTCCCACTAACAAAGGTAATTCTGGTCCAACCAAAATGTTGAACAATGAGTCTGATAAAATTTGACATGTCTTTGAAAGTACCGGTCGTTCTCATGAAGGTAGGATACAGCTCTCGGTCTAGGAGCTCGTCGCTCTCACACCCATACGTTATAAATGGTATTTTGTATCTGCCTGCTAGCAAACCTACCGAAGTACATACATCATCACAGTAAGGTCCTGAAAATCAAACAGCTAGATAAATATATATAAAGATCATCAGCTATATGGATTCTACAAGAGGGAATGCCGAGTTGACAACCCCAATTTCAGGATGGCATCAATTGGATAACTGAGCATGGCAACTGTCGGAAAGACGTCTTGAAACCATACCTTCCTTATTACATGACGGTCCGAATATTGAACCAGAAAATAACAAAATGACCAGTAATTCGGCAAATGTATCAATTATCTCGGCATCATCAAATAAAACAAACGACTAGCAACGAGACTGTAGAAGCGTCGATAACAATTTGGCATGTTACCGATTGATACACGTCGATATGTTATGGGGTGCTGACATCATTGAATAGTATTGTGCAAGACGTCGCCCATTTTTTCCTTTTTGAGAAGATGACAAAATAAGAGAGCATGTCATCCAACTTTAGACTTACCTA